AGGCAATGCCTGTCAAGCAATCAAAATGCAGATTAAAAACAGTCTCTCAATAGCAGTGTGCAAAATTTTTTAAATTCAACTCCTAAAAGGTAAGTAGTTATTTATTTACAGAAAACCAAAAGATTTTACTAGTCCTGTGGGTCATTTTAATTTAAATGCAAGTTTTTGACAATTTTCTATCCCCTTTTTAAATAAGTCTGATGTGAGGGCATCCTTTTAAAAAATTTTATTAAAGACCTTTGATACCTTGGCCTGATCAGTCAAGTTTTTTTTAAAATCAACAATATTTATGGACTTCAGTATAATAAAGGATATTTAGAACAAGTCAAGGAGGATTAAAAACAATATAGTGTTAAAAATGAACCAGGCTATTTTGTAAATTTTACTTTAATATTAGTGTGGGATTTATTATGACAAGTATTGTTTTTAATCTGAGTTGCTGAATTGAACATAACTGAAAGAGCCTACCGATACATTTCACTATGGTGTACCAAAACACACACTGATTCAAATATGAAGGTCTGGCATAGATGAAGTTATTTCCATATGTGCAGAGAATGAGTGTAACAAAATTTCTGAAGGAGTAGAGCTAAATCATGGATGCAGAAATGAGGTTTGTGTTACTAATGGAGACAGATAACAGGGAAACTAGGAAAGAGTTGTGAAAGTAAAGCAACATTAGATTTAATGTTCGTTCTGCTCCTTGGAAATCATGTCTAAGAAATAAGGATTTATATTAAGCAGTATATCATTTACTATTCTCTTTTCCACCTTGATTGACTCTGTTGGGCTCATTACAACTGTATAGCATGTCACTCAGAATACCACTGTGATTCTATGTATTTTTAACCTACTATGTTGTTTCTTGATTGAAATCTCAAAAAATTCCTCCCCTTTTCAGTTCTACACCTGTCCCATACTTAACTCTTTCTCAGGTACCTATCTACTTCCGGCTTGACATGGAGGCTACACCATGTAGTACAAGAGTTGTTTTCTCTCTATGCCAATATCTTCACCTTTTCTCATGTCTTCCCTGTTGGTCTTCAGAGAAAACTTTTCTATCCACACTGTTGAATAATTTATCCCTTTTATTAGGCTCTTTTTCTGACTCCTTTCTATGTATGCCTTTCAAAATTTCATCTATGATTTCCCCAGGCTAAAAACCCCAATCAATTATTCTTCTTTCTTTCTAAAAAAATAAGTAAATAAAGTTTCATCTGGATGATTTGTCAAACTCTGCTTTGTATTCTTCCACATATATGCCTCAATGATTTTGCTCGTCTTTACCTGAAATGTTCTGCTTGGTTCTCTGCCATCACAATTCTGCCACCCACCTAGTTCAGTAATTTTGGAATAATACTCCATGCAGAAGCAGATGTTCCACAAGGGAGACCCAGATGCTCACAGCAGGGAGGGAGGAGATGGGTGGCAGATAGACTAGAAACTCCATCTTCAGGAAGAAAAATTCTCATGATAGTGGCTTTACACATTTACCATATCTGAATATTGTGCTTTAAAAATACTTGAAAATAACAAGTTTAATGACATTGCAGAAGAGGTAAAGTGACTTGTCCAAGATTAGAGGCAACTGATAGCTTGTATTTGGGTCTTCCCTATCTGTGTTTTCTTCTATTATCCAGGCATTACTCAGTGAGGGTTCTGGGAAGTATTTTTTGGTATGGAATAAATTCTCCATTAAATGTTTATAGAGGCTTTTCTTCCATGCCATTATAATATTGAATTACAAAGTGATTTATGTCTTAAATGGGTTACTTCCTTCCATCCAGAAGGATATATGAATCATCAAGACTCTTCTTCATTCTCTTATGTGTGACATGATACCACTTGATTCTATACTGGCATGGAAGATTATTTTCATCATTTTAGTAGTATTGTAACTAAATGTTGGCAAACCTCAGAAAGTTTCAGACTGGGTCAGAAATATGGCTTTGATTTAGGGAAATTCCTTGAGAAGCCATCAGTCCTAACCTGAGAAAGCATCTCCTCATTCCTAACTAGTAAATTTTCTGCAGGTAAAAAGAAAACAGGTTTTCAGAATTAACCTGTACAGATCTTTGAGATAATTTTTAATTTTTGAGATAATTCTTTAGAGTCTGAAATCAGACTCTAAAGAATCTGGCCTCATCATCCTGGCCCTTTTCCTTTTGTACTCAACCATTGGTTCAATTAAAGGAATCATTGTTCCCAGAATTTTTTCAGTTTTGGAACATTCTGGCAATTGCTTTCACAAATGGCCACACTTTTTAGGTCAATTCTTCCCTATTTTTTATTCAATGAAAATAACTTTAAGTCAATTAATACAGTGTGTTCAGAAATGCTGTACTTTATTTGGACATGACTAACAGTAAAAATGACCTGAAATGTTTTATGAGAAATTATATTTAAGGTCATACTTAAATGAAATAACATGGAATGCTGATGCAAAATACAACAATTTGATGTATTTTCATGTATCACAATACATAAATCTAGACTACCTTCAACTGTTATTAAATTATAGCTTAGTTAATGATAAATTGACATGATATAAGAATTTTAACAATGTGGTTTTGGAGGTAAAAAAAAAAAGTCCACTTATTTTTTAACCTCTCAATAGACTAGGAATACAGTTGGTTTTCTCTAATCAACTTTATTTTGCATTATCATGCTTAATAAGCAAGCATCTTCCATTTGCTGAGTTTTCAGTTACCTTGAACTTTGATTTTTTTACTCACTTTGCAGTCACAAAATGAGAAATGTAGACACTGTGTACAAACGAGAAGTTCGTGCAAAGTCAAGTTCTCAAAACCACATGCAAGACTCAGCGGCACATGGTTTAGAGCCCACACACTCCAGGATCATGTAATACTGGCATGCAGATGAGAGGAAAGAAAAGCACCTACATCATGAAAATAGAGGGTGATGAAATAGAATGACATTTTCTTTATGACAATTATCTAATGCAAACCGTATACCCATAACCTTTACCAGAGTGGGAACAGGGGCAGAGAAGTAAATCTTTGCAGGGAGTGGGAAACTGTATATAAATATTAGATAGAGGTCAAGTTGTTGTTAAGTTTAAGAATAACTATTCTGAACTTGGCCTCTTCCAGGTTGTCTTCCCCAGTTTCTTGCTTTGTATTTCCTCTGCTACATCATGCAAAAAAGATCAAAGCTAACATTGGAAATCATTTAACAAGCTCTAAACCTGACAGATAACAAGGGTGTTCTCCACAATTTACACGAGAATTAAATTGGATATAAATACCTCCTGTTCTTACCGGTGGGTGTTGTGATTCCATGTGTTAAGGTGTGAAGCAGACAGGAAAGAGATAAATCTTTCATAAGTACATTGTAAATAGGCAAGTGGTATATAAACCATATTCATAGGTAATAGAGTAAAACAATGAAAGGTAAATAGTTGTCACAAAGTAGACTTTACCACAAAAAAAAAATGGTCATAAAATTAGAGTTTATGGGGGGCGGTAAAATAAATAAGTGCTTTACTACTGTTATTTAAATAATCTGGCAATGTGGAACAATAAAATTGAGTGATACTTATTTTGATTAAAAATTCTTGACACTGCTTCATCAACCCAGCAGTAGAGATTCCCAGAGAAGTTTTGAATGCTGATGCTTTTATTAGACAATCATACTGATGAAAATATATACATGAATAATATATAAATGTTCTTTCTTGCAAGATTAAAGTGTTCCCTTGGGAGAATTTATCAAATGAATTTTTCACAATGAACTTTGGGATAATTGGAAATAACTCATGGAATTAAGCTACAGTTTTGTATGAAATGTGCTAAGTTGATTACTTCTTCAAATTAAAAGTTTTAAAATGGTATATTCTTTATTTCTCAAATAAATTACATGCAACTATGATAAACTTATCCACAGCAATGAATGTGCCTTAAATTGGGCAATATTTACAATGTTTCCTGCACCATTACTCCTAATTTTGAAACTTGATTTTTGGTTAGAATTTTGCTGATCACACACACACAAAAATCAATCTAAATTCTGTAGCTTTGCTTTCAAAAATTTATATTATAAAATTGATGTAATTAAATGTCAGTGATTTTATTTTTCTGAAGAATTCTCAGAAATAGAATCCTTGCCCAATGGAGGATTAGCTGGATGGGAAAACTCCAAATTTTAATCTTTTTCCTATAGCTCAATGATATGCCATTGACTTTGAATTTGTTCTATAATTTATCTGTAACAATCATCTTCTAAAACCAAAAAAGCAAGTAAAAGAATTTTTGCATTTTTCCCTACTAATAAAAGGCCCTTTAAAGCAGGCTGATAAATATTGATTTTTGAGCAGTGATAACAGGAGGTAGGGTTGTGATAAGTGATTGTAGATGTCAAATTTGCTTAAAAATATGAAGGAATCCATATTTCCCCATTGAAATGAAAGATTCATTAAACCAAGTACATTTAAAGGGCACATAGTTAATTGTTTAAAAATATAGAAAAAATGTTGTTGAAAGTGGCATGAAACTTCCTATCAGAAAATGCTTTTAACATGCTTAAGCTCCCTAATCTTTCCTAAAAATTTTTAAATGTTCTACTTTTAAAAAATGTTTTATTTAACCTTGGATCTCTGTTTGGGGGCATTGTTACAGTTTACTTGCCAAATTTTAATTTCACAAGGGTTCAGCTACTTTTTTGGATGCTGACAATTAGGCCATACTTTGAAAGTCCAAGTCCCAGCTAAAGCAAGACTTTCTCTAAACCAGAAGTGGGAACTCCACAACACACAGTTATATCAGTTTGCATCATGTTATAATGCCTTTGCCACACAGTATAACTAGATATAGCACCATGCAATGCCATGAATTGAGAATGAGACACTATCTCCAGGGGAGAAAATAAACATCTGAGAGAAGAAAACAAAAGCAAGGGATTCAAAGCTGGTGAGACTGGCTTTTTCATTTTGGCTATAGCTCTAATGCCTGTAGCACTGTTTTGGGAAACAGAAATACATACCATGTTCATGTCAATGCCATTGGTGTAAGTCCATGCATGCTGGAAATACTCTTCAAGCCGTTGCCTCAGAGGGTTGGGGATTTGGTGAAAACGAATGAACTCTTTTACTCGTAGCATCTGCATGTGGTACCTGGCAGTTCCCGAGTACAGTCTTTGGATAATTGCAGAAACATTCCCAAAAATGCTTGCATACATTAGTGCTGGATTGGATAAAAAACAAAGTTATGGGGGAACACTACACATGTGTATAGTATATCTTCTCAGGATATCAATCATGTAGATTTTGATCATGTCAGCCAGCCCAGTTATGCAGATTTACCACTGGCCCATGTGCAAAAAAATTAAACTAGTAACACTTGAAATTTTTATAATTTTAATGGTATAAATAGAGAGGGAAAGTATTAAAACTCATCATGGATTCTAAATTAAAGTACAAATACAATTTTTTTAAATAATATGAGCTTGTGATCAGGAGCATTGACTAGAGATGCAATGGGTTTGGAATATAGCATTTGAGTATTTTTAGTAAGGCATGCTATGGCTTACTATAATTTTTTTTCTGAAAAAATTATTCATGGGAAAAAACATCTTTTAGGGATTTATAAAACACTTTTTGAATTAAAGTTAAATATTAATTTTAAAATTGTGACATCTCTGCCTCTTAGCTTCAAATCTAACCTTGTAGTAGTAGAGGTCTGTTATAAATTTTAAGGTTATTTTTAAAACTGGATTTTCTGAGTAATGACTAATTTTTAAAAGAAGATTAAAGTTTCTTTAGAGTGTTAATTTGTATATGATTTTTAATTTATTCTAATTCACATTCACAGTTTCTTTGCATAATAATATATCTCTGGCTTAGGAAATGCATATCGTTTAATTTTTAAGAAAAAAATTGAATACATTTTTGTTCTTTTACATATAGGAAGAAAGTGTTATTTTATCCCTTGCAATATTTTCACTACTTAGGTAAAATACTCTCATTAGTACTTCTTGAGCTAAATCTTTAGGATTTAAAATAAGGTCTTTGTGTATTTTCTTTTTTCCTTGTAGTATTTGTTTTTAACTTAGAATGAT